CCGCAGCAGCCCGCCGGCGGGGGCGGGGGCCGCGACTCGGGGGCGCTGCCCGGCCTGCAGGGCCAAGGGGCGGCCGCCGGGAGCCCCGAGGCCCAGGCCGAGCTGAGCGGGAGAGGCCTCGCTCGGGCCACCTGCTGCGAGGAGCCGGGGGCAGAGCCGGGCAGGGCCGGGCCCGGAGGCGGCTCCGCGGGCCGCGGACACAATGAGCCCATCTCGGCCGTCCTGTGCTCCCCCTCGCCGCCGGGCGAGATGCAGGGCAAGGCCTCCCGGGACGCCGGCGTGGGGAGACGGACGGAGCGGGTGGAGCTGCGCCCGGTGCCCGGGCCTGTGGGGCCGACCCGTGGGAAAGCGGAGCAGCCCGTCAGCACCACCGACGGGTCCGATAAGGACGATCCCGATCCGAGCCCCAGCACCCTGCGGAGCGCCCTAGAAATCCCCGAGCCGGCAGCGGGAATACAGTTTGTAAGCAGCCTTTGGTCCCGGTTCACCGCTGTAGGGGAGAGCCGTGCGCTCCTTGTCACTGGCGGGACGGGGTGGGGGAGGTGGCGCTAGCAGGATGTCAGGTGCATGTAAACATGCTGGTTCCTAGTGTTCACTTCTCTGCACAAAACCAAGTGGGGGGGGATAGAGGTCGGGGCCTGTACAGGTAACACAAAGCTGCTGCCATTTTGCATGGCACAAAGCCCTGGAGATTGGCAAACGAGAACCCCTTGGCTCACCTTAGAAACTGGGCGAGGTTTATACTTTTGATAGTAGCTGACATCTCTGAGCTGCCCGGTAGCATTGGCAGTCACTTTGCTTAAATTAAAAAAATGGGCAAGTGCGGTTTTATTCTGGAAAGCTTTTATTGAAAGATGGCACCTTCTTACATGCAAGACCTGTCCCTGTATGTAGTCATTGTCCTTATGCTTACTTTACTAGCTGACACAGTCTTTACTCCTGGGAGTGCTGCTGACCAGTGCAGTTATGGTGGAGCTGTGTTTTCTACCTGTTTATGTATCATCATCAGAGTTTTGAACTAAGGCCTCATTGCAGAATATTTATTGTCTGTGACGTGTGAGCCAGGAAGAGCCCAGTTGGCCTCTTAGGGCTTAGGCTTAGTTTGCAGGTCCTAACGGTTAGAAAAAAGATTGTTTTACTTGTAAACTGAGTGGATTTGATCTGGCAGTCATGGAGATGATAGATACTGGAACCGGGTGGTGCCATTTTTAGTCTCTCTTCAGTGTGGAACAGTTCTTAAAACATTCCAGTTTTTTGAGATGTTAAACCAGTATAAAAGCAGGATTGATATAGTTGCTGGCCTCTGGGGTGGTTTCTCCCTGTATGATGATGTTTTAAAGATTGGAAATGCCATTTGCAATTAAAAACTTTATTTTCAGATACAATTTTTTGACATTGCGAGTAGAGTTATCTCTTTAAAACTTTAGAAGCTGGAGATGGAAAAGAGCGATTGGACCAGCTAGTCCACCCCTTACAAGTGCAAAATTGTTCCCTACAGTACATTTTCTAGTGCTTTGTCCAGTCTAGTTTTAAATAACCCAAGCCATTGGGCTTTCCTACTTCATGGCTTAATAGAGCTCACTGTCAGGAAGTCTCTAGCTATTCAGGCTACATTTTTCCTTTCTAATTTCTTAGACTCCAAGGCCAGAAGTGACCATTGTGATCGTTTAGTCTGATGTTCTGTATAGCACAGGCCAGAGAACTTCCCCCAAAATAATTCCGAGAGCAGAAAAAAATCCCATTACTTTTGATTATATCTCCTTGATTTATCACCCTGTCAATTTTCAGAACTCCCTAGAAGCAACAGAGAGTCCTGTGGCACCTTTAAGACTAACAGATGTATTGGAGCATAAGCTTTCGTGGGTGAATGCCCACTTTGTCGGATGCAAAAGAAGCAAAACTGCTTTAAACCTTCCTTTTGAGTTGCACACATCCAACTACTTATGGAACTGTTGTTGTTGTGTTGTATTTTACATGTGCCACCTATCATTTGTAGGTCACTTTCCTTCATTTCTAAGTGCGTGTTTTATAAACAATTGCTGCAGCACTGAAATATATTATTCAAATTGCACATGCCACTCTTTTTTTTAAAGAGCATTTGGCTAAAACTCCCTTGCTTTAAGCATGTCTTGTGTCTGAGTTTTAAATATTTTCTGACACTTGTGCTGGGGAAATTACTTAATACGACAACATCCACCCCTTGAAGATTTTTTTCATTTAATTACAGGTACGGTACTATAGTGTGACATGCTATGCATGTGTACAGTACTCTTGAAAATTGATTCATGTTTAGGTCTGTGTTCTTTGCTGTAGGAAGTGGAGCTATAAATTCAGAAACCTGCAGAGGGTTCTCCTAAGAGATGTGTTCAGAGGTGGGGGGAGTAGGCTTTTGAAAGGTCTCTGTGCCCATAGAAAGGGATGATCTTGGAAAATTGGGAATGTCAGTTTAAACTATTTATGCTGCTGTTTTAGGCCCAAACCTTGCAATGAGCTCTGGGTGAACAAAGCTTTCAGGGAAGGTAGCGCATGGGACTACTATCCTTCTAGGTCTTTGGGGAAATCCTGTTGCTGCTCTGTCTCTTTTCTATTTACTGCAACTTTCTTTGTTTTGAAAAGCAAAGGAGTTACCTACAGCAGATGTGTTCAGTGATGCAGCAATGGGAGGGGTCTCACTTTGTAAACAGAAGCTGTGTAGAGGAGTTTTCACAGCAGCACTTGGCACTGAGGCACTCAAGTGGAGATCAGTAATTACATAGGCAGTGCAGAATTTGGAAAGGTGCAGAAATCAAATCAATTAATTTTTGTATTGGATTTGTATTGCTTTTTCATGTACAAACAGGAGGCTCAAAGGCTTGGCTTTCTACTAAAATACAATCCTCTTTGCTGTATTCTGGCTGAATCCTTCAAATAATTCAGTGCAGTTAAAGAGTAGTTTGTATTTGGAAAAAATAATATTTTTTAAAAAAAGCACCTTTTAACCAACAGATCATCTTCCTCTGTGCATTGTGGAGGTCTTATCTGCTTTCTTTATTGGCAAAAGTAAATTCTTGTGCGTTTACATTTGCTAGTCCTGCAGTTCTGGGAGAGGAAGCTAGATTTTAGTCTGCATTGCATTCCCAACAGAATAGTTAACTGCAGTCCAACTGCAGAATCTTTTACTACAGATGATCGTAGATAGAAATAACCAAGCTTGATTCTCAGATCCCAAACTGAGTTGGTGGTGCTAGCATTTAACTCCTTACTCCACCTATTTATCTGTAATTTGAGCCAATTTTCTTTGGAGTTGCTGAAAGATTTAAAAATCAGGAGCTCGCATTGCTATTTTTAGAGCTGCTTTTCAGAGATAGACTACTCTGTAAGCCCTTTCAACCCTGCCCCCAAGGACGGAGCTCCACCTTATACAAGCACTTGCAGGGAGCTTTTGTTCATGATGGTAACTGCTTTGAGCATGCCCACAGCTTCTCAGACTTCCTGTTTTGTTAAGAATAAAGCCTGTTTGAAGATAGGGCCTCTTGTTTGTGCCTGTGTTCAGCTGTTTTTTAAATGAAGCTTTGGGCACTCGCTTTCAAAGGGATGACAGTTTCTAAGATGACAGTAGCTCCCCCAGTGGCATTGATGGGAAAAGATGTGGATTTTTTGGTTGGCGACAAAAAGTCACATTTAAAAATAGGCACTTTGGTGCATGCTAAATTCCTTTATTATATAGGTGAGATTAGAAAGCATGTACCATTTTGCCTGATGATGTGTTGTTAGTTCTCTGATCTCTTTGCACACTGTACATGTCACATGGGCGAGAGGTTGCTTCCTTAGAGTTCAGGTATATGCAGAGAGGTGCACCTTTCTTCACGTCTTTTAAATGTTAAGTGAATGTTAGTATAGGGGATACAAGTTCTCGGTTTACCCATCGGCGTTACTGCGGGGGCTGTAAGGGCACCAGAGTGTAGTAACACCATCTCCAAACGGTTGGCACAGTAAAGTCAGCTCAGCATGGTGGCTGCTGCTGTGTTTTCCCCTGCCACATATGTTACTTATACTGGACGACAGTTTGTTGTTGAACTTTAAAATGAGTAGCCATGTCTGGTGGTTCTGCTGAGTTTTTGTCATTTTAATATGTGATAGTTACTAGTTTCAGAAATTCTAAACACAGTTGTTCTGGTCTTTGCAAGTTGAGTAAATCTGGTGAGAGCATGGTGGGAATTACATAGACAGTACAGCCCTGATCCTGGAAGGCGATGTGCATGGTGCATCCCTGCAAGCCTCTGAGCCTCATTGACTTCCACAGGGCTGTGTGTAGATGCAGGGCCATGGCTGTGTGCAGAGCAGTGCAGGGCCAGTACATTTGTTCTCATAAAAAACCCTTCATTTAAATTTTGTTTTGATTTATATGCATTTTGTTAGATTATTTTCCCTTCACTTCAATGTTTTGTTAAAGTTAATTATAGTAAGTACACTAAACTCTTCAAAGAATATTATTTGGATTGCCATATTAAGTGTTTAGGAAATGCTGAATTTAAGGTTGCCCGTGCAACCTTAGTGTACGTTCATTGATACTGCCTTTAATTACATGGTCACGTGATATGTTTTCCACATGACTTGGCTGGGGTCAGGGTACAGGATGCCCAGTGCTCAGGGAATGAGGCATCTGTTCAGTGTTCCTTATCATTTAATGTGTGGCCTTATGTCTTCTTTACTGCACGTCATCCAAACCCTGCACTAAATACAGAATTATTGATTTCCTCATAGGCTCTTCTGTGGGTCTCGTTACTGTAATATCTGGTCCTCACAAACATTAGTGAATGTATTGTCACACTCCTCAGTGAGAGACGATAGTAGTATTCCCGTTTTACTGATGAGGAGCTAATGTATTGGGCCAAATTTTTAAGTCACCACTAACTGAGAGTTATTCAGTGATTATACTCCACTTGAGACATCTAGGGTGCATATGCAGTGCTAGTGGAACAAAGGGGGAAGGGGGTTGTGTTGCCAGAAAATAGCTATGTTGTGTGAAACATGGACAAGCAATGGCAGTTTTCAGCTGCTTGTAACTTGGCCAAATTTGAAAGGATTTTCATGAGGCCAGCAAAAAGCACTTCTGACCTCCAGAACTAATCCTGCTAAACTTCAAAATCCCACTGCAAACCATGGGGGAGTGAGAACTCTTCTGAAAAAATAACAATAGTTTTTATAATAAAAAGTGTTAGGCACCCTAAATATAGGAGTTGCTGCTGCTGCTGCTATATAATGAATGGCTTCTGTTCTGTGATTTCCCCCCCCCCTCTTTTTAATGCCTTTATTCTATACTAGTATCTTGTTAAGTATACTGCTGTTGGAGAGATCTCTAGAAGAATCTTCTAGTATAAAACCCTCATTATAGGATGAACAATTAAGATTACATGTTGATTTAAATTTTAAATGATTATGATAGTACACTATCCCTTAGGTGCAAGTGTTTGTGTGTATTC